AATTTTTTTTTTTTTTTTTTTTTTTTTTTTTTTTTGTTTCAATAATGACATTGGAATTAGAGAAACTCCGGTGTTTCTGAATCAATCTGCCTGTCTGAAAAGGCTTTGGAACAATTTTTTTTTAAATGGATTAAAATGCAAATGCTTGGTATCCTCTTTGAATGTACTTAAATATCCACGTATTAATTCTAGCTCTTTACTTTTTACTTTTTAAATCCCCTTACAAGTGTATGTAAGTCAGATGTTCGATTTGAAATCTGAAGAAAACATTTGTAACCTCAATTAATGCAGAATAACATGGTACAGCATGACTTATCGCAATTACGATACCTACGTCAATTCTAACTTTGATCAATTATAAACTTTAGATATTTTTTTTACAATTAAACTTTTCATTAACGTACAATATTTTCACGTGATATTTCTGATAGTAATAAAACAATTGTGAAAGCAGTTCCTCGTTCAAAAATGATACACAGAAAGCTTGAAAGCTCGTTTAACAAGTTTAACAACGTGAAAGTTTAATAACGTAATAACCATAAGAGGAAATTAATTAAATATTTAATATCACCGATTTATCATACCGACAGCTTGTAAGCCAAGCTTGTAAACTTGTAAAGAAACAATCCAAAGAAATAGCGTTATTTAAAGTGTATGAAGTATAGATTACTATCGAGTACTTCTTTTCTCTTTCATTTTTTTTTTCTTTTCTTTTTTTAAAATAGAGAAGTATTCGAAAATGATAAAACTTATAATTTTTCCATTGATTATTAATAATGTATTATTAATTACATAATTTATGTAATTAAACAAACTACTAGAAAATTCAACTTAACAAGAATAAGAATATTTATTTTTAAATCTTAATCATATTTACCGATAAAATTCCAATTATAACGTGGTATTAAGTTTATTTATTTACTTTCTTGTGTTAAAACTCAGACCAAAATTATTCTTCATGTTTCATGTTTCTCTTGAACCACCAGCGGATCACTTTTGATCTATGTAGAACTGTGCTATTATTCTAAATGAAAGTCGAAAAAGTCATAAATTTCGTAGTGTTCCCTCCCTTATATAATATAAACGTCACTAAATGATACTTAGTATCTACAATTCCAATATAGGTCAAAAGTGATCCGAATCCGGTAACTTTTTGGTCAGCAGCTCGAGGATTAATAAGTCATTGTAATTTTACACATATATTCGTCTTATTTTTTTTTTTTTTTTTTCACTGATAAACTTTCTATGGATATCAATGAAATATCTTACAAAACGACTAAGAAATAAGTATTTCATTATCATGAGTCGACAAGTTTCACTTATAAAGGCCACTCTATTTTATTTATGAATAAAACTCTCGTATCGCACAAAAATTATAGGTTTTTATAAAATCTCGAAACTACGTCTCGAATCAATATAATTTAATTACCAAAAAACGTCAATCATGCATAATTCTTGCTCTTCTTTTAAATACGTTCTTTTAATGCGATCAATAGCTAGAAAACACGTTTCTTTGGTTAATGGAAACTTTACCTTTGGGCCATTGATGACGCACATGATACAAAACTTATTAAAGTTAATTATGTGCAAGATACGTCATATTATGACACGAAAAATACCAGAATACCTGTTTTTAAGATTTAACTTTATGCAAATTTTTCAAAATTTTTCACTCTCCTTTTTACGAAAATTCGCGATAATTTCGAAAAATAAATGAAACACAGATGGAAAGTAAATTTTATAAATTATAACGCATTCGATATAATTATTGTGTTGTAAGGAGATCCTGATGACATTTATCGAGTGCCTTTCATACTTTCTATATAAATCGGTTCTCTCGGTATCTCATTCATATCCATATCACGAGCGTAAAATAATGTCGGACATTAAAACCAAGAATCAAACTCACCGTTTTCGACGAGATACAGGTGTCGTTCAAATAAAGATGATGCGTCTCCCACCTCCTCAGATATTTACTCGACAGAATCTTCTTCACGAGATTGGTATAATTCAAAAAGCACACCTGAATGTCCCCTTCTTCGATGGGTTTAAATCTAGGGCCAACAGGGCCGGGACTAGGAGTAGAACTAAACGACCCGCTGGTTGGCGAGCATCCAGCGCTCTGCCTTTCCAAATTAGGGCAAGATCTCGCGGCAGGCAGGCAAAACGTGCTCTCTAAGCTCTCTGGCTTCAACGTGTCTAACCTCGAGTTCTTCTCAACGTTGAACGAACTACAAGCATCGGCTGGAGAGTTAGATTCACCGCTGGACCTGTGATTGCTATCCGAGGACAATTGTGGTGAGCTAGTGCTAGTCATCTCCTGTCGCATGGATCCACCATTGACACAAAGGAAATTGTAATAAGGTACTGTCGATGAAGATAAGCCTGCGGTCGATGGGCCAGCAGGGCTCAAAGGTAACGAGGATCCTTCTTCCGTCTCGGTTTCCGTTTCTTGATTGGACACGTTCTCCTTCTCCGACTCGCTGAATACATTCTGCAACGAAGATATATCGTTCTCAGAGGCTGCGGTTATCCTGGAGTTTCTCAAAG